CAATAGAAATAAAAAGACATTTGTTCTTCCTCTGTTCCTCTTCTTGTGTTTGAATCTAAAATGTCTCATCCTTCATGCTGCAGCTGCTGAATCTCCTCCAGCTAACGTGTGTTTTGAGTGTTTTGAGTTTCAGACTTTCTGTCAGAAACACAGAAGTTTGCTGAATTCTGTCTTCACCTCTTTATCTTCATGTAAAATCTGTTTTTGACTGAACTTTGGTTGGATCTTCGGTTGTGTTCCTGCCCTGAGCGGTGACTGGCAGGCGTGTTTCTGCCCTGACCAGTGACTGGCAGGCGTGTTCCTGCCCTGACCAGTGACTGGCAGGCGTGTTCCTGCCCTGAGCGGTGACTGGCAGGCGTGTTCCTGCCCTGAGCGGTGACTGGCAGGCGTGTTTCAGACTCAACATTTGGAGCTTCAACACCTCTAAACACGTTTACAGTCTTTTCAGTTCCAGCGCTGAACAGCTTTCGTTTTAAAGAACTCATTTATGAGCTAAACTCTGCTGCTAACGTCTCAACAAACGAGCGTTTTCGGGAGCTTGGACTTCATCATCGCGACTGAAAGCTCTGGACGTGATCAGGAGAGAATAACTCGTTCAGAACAAGCGGTGTGTAAAGATACAGCTTTATAACAGGACAAAAGCTCTAAAAGTCGTTTGTTTCTCCCTGTTTTCATCTGAAATAGTTGAAAGATGTTCAGCGGAACATTTTGGGAGCTTCTATGGAAAGTCGAGTCCCAAACAGGAGAGAGGATGCTGAAGAAACACAAATAAAAAAGAGGATCGAACTGCTGTTCCTGGTTTTTACTTTAATGAAGAACATGAACCGATAAATAACCATAAACATGGTTCCTGCAGGCACATGATCAGCATCAGTCGGGTTTGTTACGACTTTATCCAAGACAAACAGTCAGAACACCGTAAAACTAGTTTCACTTCATGCTGGATGTTTGTTTACTTACTTCTGATGTTACTTTAAATTAAACGTAAATTAATTTTTCTAGACGTAAAAAGTTTTCAAAAACAGAAACCAGTTAAAGAAAATCTGTCAGGAGTACGAAGACGTATGAACGTCCTCACTTCTGTCATCAGGTTAATCTTCATATCTGTATTCTCGGCAGTCACAGAGTCACTTTGGAGGATTTGGAGACGATATTTTACAGCCTGAACTAAAGCTGAACATCAGATCTGCTTCAGCTGAGCGCTTCCTTCACCTGGTTCTAGTTTTTACCGTTCAAAGCTTCCCTCTGCTCATATTAATGATGTTTTAATGGATCGTCCTGATGGAGACGTTGGCATCATTAGTTGGTGTTTTAAAGGTGACGGAAGTTAATCAGATGTTCAACAACACAAGTTAATATTTAAATGAGAAATAAACAAACAAATCCTACAAACTAGTTTAAAAGGTGAGCTCAGCGTGAGCAGCAGCGCCACCTGCTGTCTGCAAACCTTCAGCCACAACTGAAGCCGTAAAGTCAGAGGTTTGTAAAAGCTTTTTGGCATGAATGCAAGTACTTCCTGGTTTTATTAGAGCATCATGTGGGAACCAGATCTCATCATATTTAAAGCATCAAAGAAAAACTCCTTTTTAACGTCCTGTTTCTTCAAGCAGATCAATAAATGAAGCTGTTAAACGTTTTGGTCACGTGTTAGAACCACAAACTGACAGTTATTGAGCCTTAAGCAGAGCAGCAGAGACAGAAACTGAAGGAAACGAACATTAAATACGCGTTGGTTCTGGTTTAAACAGTAAAGAGCTGCTTTAAAAGAAAAAGGTCTCATGTCAAAGTGTTCACACCGGGATGTTCTGTGGTACTGCACGATTCACTGAGTCTGGCAGAGAGACAACAGAACCACAGAACCACAGAAGAACTGTGGAGCCTCACAGAGAATCAGGCAGAACTGAGGGCAAAGAGAGCACAGAGGCTCTGGAAACATCTGAAATATCTGATTCCAAACTCCATGACTAAATATAGACAGAAAGAAACAGAAATACAGACAGACGGACAGACAGACAGACAGACAGGCAGACGGACAGACGGACGGACAGACGGACAGACGACAGACAGACAGACAGACAGAAATACAGACAGACAGACAGACGGACAGACGGACAGACAGGTAAACACATATTTGGTCTCATATAAGGAGAGGATGTTGGGCGATCGAGGCAGGGCAGCACAGGGAGAGAGAGAGAGGCCGCCCTCAGCTTCATGCCCTTATTAGGAAGTTTTCCCAGAGTTCCTTGTTGTTCAGGTCGGGGGGTGNGAGGGTGAATGAATGCAAAGAATCTGTTTTAATATTTCACAACATTAAATACAAAACTTCAGATTATCGTCAGATAAATTCATTCTGACTTTATTCTAAAATAACTCTTATTTAATGAAAGTTTTTTTTAAGGAGTGTCTGAAACAGAGTCATGTTTCCACTTTGTGCTGAACTGAAAGTAAATCACAGGTTTCAGTTGGATTCTTTTCAGCTTGTGGCGCCTCGAGGAGCAAAATCAGGATGAGAAGGTCCCAGTGAAGGAAGTTTGTCCTGCAGAGTTCAACAGAAACTGGATGAATAACCAGAGAGAAGGAAACCATAAAACCAGGCGATAAGTCTGGAGGGAAAAGATCAGAAGTCAACGCCCCACGTTTAAAGCAAAGAGAAACTCTTATCGGCTGCAGAGGAGAAGCTGAGTGAGTCAGACGGCAGGAATTTAACGGAAGTCACATCATGAGTCAGTGAACGAGGAGCGTCTGATGACACTGAGAGGAATTCCCCAGAAACAGGAAACTTATGGCAGCAGCGAGGAAGCTGGAAGGACGTCTGGATTGACTTCAACATCAAAGTTTAGAGGAGGAGTTTCCAGAAGCCTGGCAGTCAGCCAGCAGTCTGATAATCTGCTCCAGGCGCTGAACGCTGAGCTGGAAGAAAGTGAGACTTCCCTGAAACGGGTCAAACATGTAACGTTGGTGTCATCCAGAAAAATCTTGTTCAGGACTTGTTGAAGCTGAAAAATGTTTTCAGTGTCGATAATCTTGAACTTAAACCAATAAGATCCATCGATCCAGGTTCAGTCTGAGAAAATACTGACAGAGCTCAGCACGTTATGGCACACAGATCAACGCACAGAAGTCATCAGAGGATCAATAACCTGATCAGAGGATCAATAACCTGATCAGAGGATCAATAACGTGGGTATCAGCAGACAGGAGCTCCCCGTGGCCCCGCCTCCACCCGTCCTACCTGTTCTACCTGCAGCAGCTTGCCTCCACCTGCGCTCTGCTGGAACATGAACTCTGAGCTGCTCTCATTCTTCAGGCTGGATCCTAGTTTTGGAACGTTTCCCTTCGTGAATACTTGAAGTCCTCCGGAGCGGAGCGCTGACGTGCTCCACATGTCGAGGCAGGACGATGGACGTAAACGACTTTATATAACACCTGAAGATTCAGAGGAACCGAGGTCACGCTGAGCAGCAGAAACATCATGAGCGGAGGTCATCAGGACAGAGCTTCACTCACTGGTCCAGGATTGAAATAGACGCCTGACATCTGCCTGCAGAGTGTATCTGTGTGTTGTATGGATGTGTTCTGTTTCTGCAGCATAACGAGGCTGGACAGGCTGCAGTGTGTGAAACACTCTGACATGATGAGCAGTGAGCAATGAAGCAGTGAAGGTGAGTTGTGTAACGGACCGTCGAGTCGCGACAGGCCTCCTGAACTCCATGTTCTGACTGCAGCTGCTGCTCGCCAACAGGTTCCCATCAAGCACGGCAACAGAAAAGGTTCCTTCATTTACAAAAACATCCTAAAGACACCACAAAGAGACACAAAAC